AGCTTGCTAGAGGAGACCCAAAAAAAATACTGAAGAAAATAACAACTTAAAAAATAAACTAACCCAAATGGCAAAAGAGGTCCAAAAAGCCAATGAGGAGAAGAATGCCTTAAAAAGCAGAATTGGCCAAATGGAAAAGGAGGTTCAAAAGTTCACTAAAGAAAGTAATTCCTTAAAAATTAGAATGGAACACATGGAAGGTAATGACTCTATGAGAAATCAAGAAATTATAGAACAAAACCAAAGAATGAAAAAATAGAAAACAATCTAAGCTATCTCATTGGAAAAACAAATGACCTGGAAAATAGATCCAAGAGAGATAATTTTAAAATTATTGGACTACCTGAAAGCCATGCTAAAAAAAAAAGCCTAGATATCATCTTTCAAAAAATTATCAAGGAAAATTCCCTGATATCCAGAACCAGAGGATAAAATAGATATTGAAAGAATCCACTGATCACCTCCTGAAAGGAATCCCAAAAGGAAAACTCCTAGGAATATTATAGCTAAATTCTAGAGTTCCTAAGTCAAGGAGAAAATATTGCAGGTAGCCAGAAAGAAATAATTCAAGTATTGTGGAAACACAATCAGGATAACACAAGATTTAGCAGCTTCTACGTTAAGAGATTGGAGAGCCTGGAATATGACATTGTGGAGGTCAAAAGGGCTAGGATTAAAACCAAAAATCACCTACCCAGCAAAACTGAGTATAATCCTTCAGGGGAAAAAATGGACATTGAGTGAAATAGAGGAGTTTCAAGCATTCTGAATGGAAAAATTGGCTTTCAAATACAAGACTCAAGAGAAGCATGAAAATGTAAACAAGAAATAGAAATAATAAGGGACTTATTAAAGTAGAACTGTTTACATTCCTACATGGAAAGATGATATTTGTAACTCATGAGACCTTTCTCAGTATTAGGGTAGTTGGAGGATACATACACACACACATACACACACACACACACACACATACGTACATACATATACATATACATATACATATATATATATAGACATAGGGCACAGGGTGAGTTGAATATGAAGGGTTTATATCTAAAAAATGAAATTAAGGGGTGAGAGAGGATTGTACTGGTGATGATGGGAGGGCAGATTGGGGGAGGAGATAATCAGAAGCAAACATTTTTGAGGAGGGACAGGGTCAAAGGAAAGAGTAGAACAAACGGGGAGCAGGATAGGACAGAGGGAAATATAGTTAGTCTTTCACAACATTATTATGGAAGTGTTTTGTATGACTACACATGTATAACCTACATCGTATTGCTTGCCTTCTCAATGAGGGTGGGAGGGTAGGAGGAGAGAGAATTTGGAACTCAAAGTTTTAAAAATGAATGTTAAACATTGTTTTTATATGCAACTGGGAAATAAGATATAAAGGCAATGGGATCTAGAAATCTATCCTGCCCTACAGGAAAATGGAAGGGGAAGGGGATAAGAGAAGGGGAGGTGGTGATAGAAGGGAGGGCAGATTGAGGGAAGGGGTATTCAGAATGCATGCCATCTTGGGGTGGGGGGAGAGGAGAGATGGGGAGAAAAATTGGAACTCAAAATTTTGCGGAAGTAAATGTTGAAAACTAAAAATAAGTTAATTAATTTAAAAAAAAGAACAACATTAGCCAAATTGCAGAATATAAAAGAAACTAACACAAGTCATCAGCATTTCTGCATACTACCAAAAAGAGAAAGAGAGAAAAATTCCATTTAAAATAGCCATCAAATGTATAAAATATTTGGGAGTCTACCTACCAAGAGCTAGGAACTATGTGATTATAAATTGTTCTCTCTGTTCAGTTTACTTCACTCTGTATCCATTTATACAAGATTTCTTCTTGTTTCTCTGAAACTGTTTGCTGCATCATTCTTATAGCACAATAGTATTCTATTAAATTAATACGACATTTTATTAATTCATTATCCAACTGATGGACAACCTCTTAGTTTCTAGTTCTTTTCCACCACAAAACTATGATTACAACTACAAAACCGTCTTTACACAAAGACAAGTTTAAATAATTGGAGACCTATTAATTGCTTATAAGTAGGTCAAGCCAATATAATAACAATAGTAGTAATAATATCTAAATTAATTTGCTTATTAACTTCCATACCAATCAAATTACCAAATGATTACTTTATAGAACTAGAAAAATAGCAAAATTTATCTAGAGAAACAAAAGTTTAAGAATCTCAAGGAAAATAACAAAAAAAAGTGGGAAATGGGGGGGGCTAGCAGTAACAGATCTTAAACTATATTACAAATCAGAATCTTAATGATATGGTGTTATTTTAAAAATAGGTAGATCCCTGGCATAGATTAGGTAAACAACATACCAAATCAAAATAATACAGTAGCTTAGTGTTTGATGAAGTCAAAGACTTCAGCTATTGGAGTAAGAACTCAGTATTTAACAAAAACTGGAAACCTAGAAAACAGTTTCAGAATCTAGATATAGACCAACATCTCACATTGTATACCAAGAGAAGTTCCAAATGACTACATAACGGAGATGAAGGGTGACTTCATAAAGAAGAGCAAAGAAGCAGATACAAATTTATCAGAATAAGAGACATTTCACAATTAATAAAGTGTCATTGGTTATGATCAAGCAGTTTTCTAATAAAGAAATCAAAGCTGTCAATAACCATATGAAAAATGCTCCAAATTGCTAATAGTTAGAGAAAAGAAAATTAAATCAAGTCTAATGTTCTACCTCGTATACTCCCAAGATTGGCAAAGTTGATAAAAAATAAAAAGGATAAGGAAAAATGTTGGAGGGGATGTAGGAAGACAGATACTTTAATGTGCTGTTGGTGGCACTGTAAATTGGTCTTGCCATTCTGGAAAGCAGTTTGGAATGATGCCCCTAAAGTTATGAACTGTGAATACCCTATGACCCAGTGATGCCACTATCTACTAGGTCTTTATCCCTAAGAGAGCAAAGAAAGAATAAAAGTACTCTAAGTACAAAAATATTTATAATAATATTTTTTGTGGTGGAAAAGAACTAGAAACTGAGAGGTTGTCCATCAGTTGGATAATGAATGAACAAAATGTCATATTAATTTAATAGAATACTATTGTGCTATAACAATGATGCAGCAAACACTTTCAGAGAAACCAGAAGAAACCTTGTATAAATGGACACAGAGTGAAGTAAACTGAACAAAGAGAACAATTTATACAATAACAGCATTGCAAATATAAACAATTTTGAAAGACTTATGAACATTGATTGACACAATAATCACCATTCCAGAGGAATCATAATGAAAGATACTACCCATTTTCAGATAGAGAAGTGATGGATTCAGGGTGAAGAGAGAAGCATATATTTTTTAGACGTAGCCAATATTGGAATTAGTTTTGTTTGACTATGTATATTTGTTGCAAGAGTTAATGTTAGTCTTTTCTTTTAATGAGGGGAGATGTGTGTGTGTGAGAGAGAAAATAGATTTTTCTTGATTTAAAAAATAAAAATACTTTTATTTTTAAAGAGTGAACCATTGGGGCAGCTAGGTGATACAGTGGATAGAGCAACAGCCCTGAAGTCAGGAGGACGTGAGTTCAAATCTGGCCTCAGACCAAACACTTGACACTTACTAACTGTGTGACCCTGGGAAAGTCATTTAACCCCAGTTGCCTTAAAAAAAAAAGTGAACCATGGAAGAGAAAAAAGATTGGCCTGCAGCAATGCAGGCCTAGATGAAGTAATGTAAAATAAAATTTTAGTGGACCAAGTCATGCATGCCACATTTTAGCCAAACTTACCTACTTGACATTCCATAAGCATAACAGCTCAATCTTATTCCCCATCCCTTAGTATTGGCACAGGCTGCCCCCCCCCCCCATAAAGGGGAATACTCTCTTTCTTCACTGCTACTATTTGGAATCCTTAGTTCCCTTCAAGGCCCAGCTTAAGAGACCTTTCTAGGCTTACCCAGTTAATAGTGTCCCCCCTGCCCCTCACAATTACTTCATATTTACCTATTAGTACATGTGCTGTTGCTCCCTTACACAATGTAAATTCCTGGAGGTCAGGGATTATTTTGTTTTTTTCTCTTTATAACCCCAGTGCCTGACATCTAGTAGGTCCACTGGATCATAGATTTAGAGTAGAAAGGACATCAGAGGCAATTGAATCTGCTACACCCATTTTACAGATAAAGAAACTTGAGTCCCAAACAAGTTAAGTGACTTTTCCATAGTCACACGGCTAGGAAGCAGAATTTGAACCAAGGTCTTCATGACTTTGGTCCAGCACTGTTAATCTACTACACCATGTTGCCTTTAACAATAAATTATATTTTATAATATATACTTTGCATTGCATTGAATTGACCCATATATCTATTTTCTCATTGTTATAAAATCTTTATGAAAATGATTTCCATGAGAATTGAGCGTATCCCTGGTGAATATATGAGAAAGGAAGAGGCAGGCAAAGCAATATAGCTCTAATAGTCTGGTGTTAACTGTGCAAATCTATGTGATTTTCCCTGCATGTTTCTGTGTTGTCTGAATTCTGTTTGAGTCTTGTGTACCAAGCTGTGCTGCAAGTTCCCCATGTTCTTAGACTCACAGTACATCCATAGGTCAGGTAACAATGCTCCTCATAATACTGACAGCTGCTCTTTGGATGAAACCCCTGAGAAGAGGGGAAGTTTGTTAAAGAAGAGATCCATGCTGAAGAAGTAGTTTCAAGTGTTGTCATGGAGAAGAAAACAGAGAAGAACATTGAGGATATGTTAAGAGGGAGGTCCTAAAGGACCAAAGCATAAAGCGATGAAATGAAAAGGGAAACTTGTAAGAAGTAGTAGAAGAGTTGTATATTACTCTGAGGAAGTGATGTTTTGAACTGGGGGAGAGGTATGTTTTTCAACAGTGAAAGGATGGTCACATTTTTTAACCTCAATGAATATTTATTACTTGAGATAACTGATTCTATTGATTACAAAGATAACATGTTAAGACTAGTTACCTTAAGTGATCGGCCTTTTATGTGCATGGAGTGCCAGCATTCTTCTTTCAAAATGTGACATAAATACTTCTTAGCTAGATTTTCCATTTCTGTTTCCTTTTTAATCTTTAAGAAAAAAAAGAAAAAGAAAATATTCGTGTTTCAAAATGGTCTAGCATGTAAAACTTAATAACTTAAGTTGTTTGTATGAATACATTTTTTAAGTGATCTGTAAGTAAACATCATCTGTAAGTAAGATTTCAGTTTTTTGAAAGAGTTTCTATAAGCAAGAAATTCTTTATTTTGTTGTTTGATTGTTTCAGTCATGTTTGACTCTTTGTGACCCTGTTCAAGGTTTTCTTGGCAAAGATACTGGAGTGGTTTGCCATTTCCTTCTCTAGCTCGTTTTACAGATGAGAACAAGGCAAACAGGTTAAATGACTTGCCCAGGGGCGCAGAGCTAGTGTTTGAGGTCAGATTTGAATTCAGGAAGAGGAGTCTTTCTACTTCTGGCACTCTGTCTACTGTATCCCCTAGCTGTGCTTTCTTAGCTAGGCTGCATTTTAGGTGACAGCCTCTGTGGGCCCATACCTGTAGACTTGCTAGTTCTGTAGGATGTGGCTGACCTTGTGCTTCACTGGCATTGGTTTTAAGAGACCATGCTAAAAGGAGTCAATGAAATAGAGATTTAGTGGAGGTCTAATATTAATAAAAATGTTAAATAGCCATGGTTTGGACACCTTTTGGGATCTTATAGGGATACTAACTGGACATGTTATTTCAGCATTATGAGTAATTCCAGATGTGGAAACTCCTCTTCACATGTAGTCCCAGTAGTCAGTCACCTTCTTAGCAATTCACCCTCTTAAGTGTCCCCTAGAGCACCAGGAGATTAGATGACTTGCCTAAATTCATAAACCCAGTAGGTATAAGAGGTGTAACTTGAATTCAGGATTCTTATCTTCTCTGCCATGTTGCTAGAGACCTTATACTTTACATTTTTTTATTCAGAAGAGTATGTCTTTTCCACAGGTGTTGTATTTTAATGGTCAGTGAGACAATCCTTTGTTAGAGGTTCTTAAAAGCTCAACTATATGAAAGCTTGCCTATATGCAAAACTCTCCAATGGATCTGATGCAAGGAATTCACCCTGGTGATATACCAGTCCTCCAACATAATTTGCACATAATTTGTATCTATGCACATAATTTGTGACAACAGAGTAAACGTGTCACCTGAGTCCTACATGTTCCTCTGAGTTCTTCCTATGTTTAAAAGTTAACTCTTTGCATTTTATGTGCTGCTTTATAGTTTGCAAAATGCTTTTCTCACAAAAACCAAGTGATATAAGTAACATATAACTGATGCTTTAAAATAAGTTTGATTTAGATACTTTAAAGAATAAATAATAAAATGCCCCTGAATGATTATGATTTGTGGAAATCTAGATCTGTATGGGAGGGTTTAGCTTAACTGGCAACTCCATTTTATGATATTTGCATTGCTCAGTCAGTTTTCAGTCGTGTCCAACTTTTTGTGACTGCATTTGGGGTTTTCTTGGCAGAGATACTGGAGTGGTTTGCCATTTCTTTCTCCAGCTCATTTTACAGATGAGGAAACTGAGGCAGAGTTAAATGACTTGCCCAGGGTCACAGAGCTATTAAGTGTCTGAGGCCAGATTTGAACTCAGGGGGATAAGTCTTCCTGACTCTAGGTCCAGCACTTTATCCACTACGCCACCTAGCTGCCTCCTCTTGCCATATACCACATGCAGCGCTTTCACTGAATCCAAACTTTACAGAACAAATCTCCTTAATAAAAGGATTTGTTCTGTAAAACTTGAACTTAGTCAAAAAGCTGCACTCAAGGACCTAGAAGGCCACATGTGGCCTCAAGGCCACAGTTTCCCACTCCTGATTTAGATCCTGTCTTCAAGGAATTTATAGTGCAGTGGAAGGATAAGATACAAGCATAGTTAACCGTAATATACAACATTACACGAGAGGTATATTAGAGAGCTGCAAAGCATATAACAATATTGGTTGTTACCAATAATCCCACCATTTATATAACACTTTAAGGTTTATAAAATGCTCACTTTTCCACAACTCTATAAAATAGGTATAGCAAGTATTATTATTCCCATTTTACTGATGAGGAAACTTGTGTTCAGATAGAATAAATAACTTGCCCATGGCCACAAACCTCTTGTCAGAACCAGCATTTGAATTTTGTTCTCTTGACCCCAAGTCCAGCACACTTGAGACTATACTACATTGCCATTACTCAGCTAGAGGAAAGATTCATGAAAGATGAGGCATTCGAGTTAGTGTTTAAAGGAATAGTAAAAATTCAGGGGGTGAAGAGAGCAAGAGAAGACATCTGAGGCATAAGAACCGAGGCACAGAGGAAGGCAAGCCTAGAGCTATTCAGGGGGCAGAAACTAGTTAGGTTTGGCTAGAGCATGGAGTATACATATGAGTATAATGTAAGGTCAGAGAAGCAGAGTACTGACAGACCCTGACAGGCCTTGAGCCAAGCAAAGAAGCTCTAACTATAGTCAGTAGGCAATGAGAAATCATTGAAGTGTTGGGTTTTTTTTTAAGTACGTGAGTGATGTTACCATGCTGATAATTAAGGAATATTATTCTGGCAGAAGTATGAAGGATGAACTAGAAGAGCCAGGGCATAGAGAAAGACAGACTGATTAAGAGCCTAGCAGCATGTCTTTATTTTTACTACATACACTTTAAGTTCTAATGACAAGAAGAGATCGTCAAATATATAAACTAGAGAATAAGAAAAAGAAAGGAATACACAAGATGAAACAGAAAGTGATTGCAAAGATTGTACATATCTGTAAATTATTACTTACTGATTATTAATTCTGACCCAAGAGATGTATATTGATTTTAACATGGTATTACCCACATTATCTTTGTTTTATGATGCTTTTTGGCTTTATTTTGTCTGTAACTTACAGCTGCTGCTGTTATTGTCTTTAGATACATATAGTAGTTATAGTCAATGTGTAAATTGGTTCTTTTTTTTGGTTCTGCTTTCTTGGTTCTGAATTATTTAACACAAATCTTCCTGTATTTCCTTGAATTCATTGTACCATCTCCATAATTTCTTATGGCAAAATAATGGTCTATTACATTCCTATACCATAATTCATTTAGCTATTACTACAGTTATTTGACATTTATTTTGGCTCCAGGTTTTTGCTATCATAAATAGTGCTACTAAGAATATTTTTGTAAGATAGGTCTTTTTTTCCCTATTAACGGTCTCCTTTGGCTCCCAGTTCCTAACTGGGTCAAAAGTATGCACCTTTTTATATCTTTTGTTGTTATTCTGTACTATTGTCCAAAAAAAAGACTGGGACCAATTCACATCTCTACCAATAATGCAATACCATGTTTATTTTTTTTTTACCACAGTCACACCAACAATGAATTTTGCCAACCCTTATTATCTTAGCCAAATTGATGGATATTAGGTGAAGTTTCAGGTGTCTTAATTTACATTTCTTATATCCAAACAGTTGCCAAGACTTATTAATTCTACATTGACAATGATCTTCTATCTATCTTACCCTTAAGGCTACCACCTTACTTCAGGCACTCATCCATTCTTACCTGGACTAGGTTATTGGTTATAGTACCTCCTAATTGTTCTCCTGTGTGCGGTCTTTTTTCTTATCTAGTCCACCCGAAATGGTATTCCCAAAGTATGAGTCAGTCAATAAGCATTATTAAGCACTTATTCTGTCTAAGCACTGTCTGATTATGTCATTTACTTTTATCACTCTGGTGTCTACTTCTTATTTAGCTTTTCATAATCCTAGACTATTTTCCTAAGCTTACTGTGAATTATTCTTTTTTTAATACATTTTATGTGCCAGCCAAAATGGAACATTATTTGTTTCTTCAATATGGATTACTGTTTGTTGTGTAAAAACTATTTATTTTCACATAACCCCAGTGGTAAAACTGATTGGTATGGGACTCTGTCTTTACTATTGGAGATTAATGCCCCATGTCTGCATTGGGAGCAGGATAGAAGAAGGTTAAGGACTTGAAGTTTTCTTTGGCCCTTCTTCAAGCTTGAGAGTCTTTTTGGATTCTGTAGCCCCTTTGGACGCTTCCAGTTTCCAATTTTGAGAGAGAAGAGGAAAGAAGCCAGCCCTACTTTTGTTGGCTGAAGGAAAAGATTCTGGGAAGAAGCTGACATGAGAGAGCTGTCAGTCTCCATCATGTCCCTATCCCTAGCTTACTACACTAGAGACTTCAGGGAACTTATCTTTGGGTGGGAGCTGGGACTGTCTCTCTTGATTGAGTTGAGTTACCTTGTTCCCAATGGGATAGCTCTTTTACTCTGTATTGTTTGGTGTATATTCTTATATGTATACTTTCTCTGACATCTGTTTTGCTACTGACTTAGATAAATAGGTTCTTGGCTAATTGCTATATGTATGTTCATTGAGGAAATGGCGTCCAGTAGGGAGGAACTCAAGCCTTGGATATAAACTTTGTGGTTCCGCTTCCACCCAATGATGAATAGTGATCAGAAGTTATATTGAACCTGAAAATCACATCTCCTAGATAAATAATACTTAATGGAGAAAACAGACAGAATTCTAGCCCAGTACCACTTTGCTCTTGAGTGCCTCCAAACTGTCTGACCCCAAATTCCTACTTCCCTCCTGTCAAGAATTAAAGTCTCTCTTTGAGAAGGTGGGGGAGGAGGTGGGAAGAAGAGGCTAGAAATGTCTATTCTTATGTTTTTATAAATGAAATGAGAGTGATTGAGGAAAACTGGAAAAGAAATGAGAGGTATTCAAGAAAGAATATCTCACATTCTCAGTGTCTCTGAGTGATTCTGGGACCTGCTCCTGTCCTGGTGCACACAGCCTCTCTCTGGACACTGGAGAGCTAGGCATGGGGCATGCTCTCATCGTGACACATTCTCTAGCTACATACCTCCCTTTCTTTCTCCATTTGCCAGCCTAGGCCAGACAAAGGATCTGTTGTGACTTTTTGTGGATTTCCCTGTCAGGATTCAGTCTGGTACATTTTCTTAAGACTTAGAGGGGAACTCTGCCTCTGGTTCCTACTACTTTGCCATCTTGGTACCACTTTTCTTTGCTACATTCTTATATTAATCTTCTACTGTGGTCTTTTGACTCCAAGTACAATGTACTTTCCATTGTACAATATGGGCTCATGGAAATAGTGTAAAATTACAATGGAATTTTCCAAGTGGAACTATTTCTAAAGGCACAGTTGATAGAGAATTGAACTTGGAGTCAGGAAGCCCTGAATTTGAATCCTGCTTCAGACAATTATTAGCTATTTGACCTTGGGCTAGTTGCTTGGCTTTTCTCAGCCTCAGTTTTCTTATCTGTAAAAGAGGCATAATAATAGCACTTACCTCACAGGGTTCTTGTAAGAATCAAATGAGATGGCATATATATATATATATATATATATATATATATATATATATATATATATATATATATATATATATATATATGGCACTTTGCAATCTTAAAGCACTATATAAATACTAGTTATTATCATTCTCATTATAAATTTAAAAATTCAATTACAAAAAAAAATTGTTACCTCCCCTTGATTCCATTTTCTCTACATATCTTTAAAATATGGTTCATGATTTCTCTCTGCATTCCTGTAGGTCTCTTCAGAGAATTCCATTTCCCCCTCCTCATCAGAATTATTTACCCTTTTGATTTCAGAATTTCATTCTTCAAAGTTTCCCATTCCTTCGAGGCTGATGTACCCTATAGTGTTTTAGTCCATGGGGGTCCCATCTGTTGTTTCTCTAAAGCATTTGAAATTTGCTGTCCAAAAATCTAGAATATATGTCAGACAATGTGCAACTTCCCTCTCCTCTATTACACATTCTAAGATCAAATAATCACTTCACCCCAAAGTTTCCACCATTTTAATCCCAGAAACCAGTTCCTCCCTGTTAATGACAATCAGATCTAGGAAATGATTTTCCCCCTATATGTTTCTCTACCTTTTGAAGGATGAAATTATCATGAAATCCTGCCCTGTTTTTGCCACCATCTGGTGCTAATACCTCCTCCAAGACAAAGAGAATATATTATTTTCTTTTGTAGCTCTCCTTGGACCTTGCACAGTATTATATACATAATAAGAGTTTAGCAAAAGTTGGCTAAATGAATGAAGCAATTTATTATTTTTACATCCCAGATATACATAAGCTTTTTATAAGTATATTGGAAAAGTTCTTATTTTGACCCTTCTTTCTTTTTTATGTCTATATAAACAATGGTACTTCAAGTAAATTCTCACATACCTTTTCCAGTTCTTCTTCACCTTCATAATGAAGCCTTTCCATTTCTTCAACATCTAGACTGAATTCCTGTTGCTCTAATTGTGCAATCTCAGATGCCAACTCATTTTCATTCATCATAGCCTGAATCTGAATTAAATGATAGAAAATAGTAGTGAACAAGTAAATAAGATCAGCTTTAAAACGTGCCCCCCACTTTCACTGGGGAAAATCAATACCAGTACCATTTCTTATTGCCAGGATCTAACCATTAAGATTAATTGAATTCTAACTTCTTAAGGTTATCACTGTTTGTTCATTGTAATACATCTATTTATGAATAGATATTGTTTAGTTTTGTTGCCATATAATTTTTTAATTTTGCTAGATTTCCATGTGTAGTGTGTTGATTTTTTAAAAAGAAAATATTTTTTTCCCAGCTTCTCTCTTTAAGAACCTACTCCAACAGAGGAACATTGAAGAGGACCATATAGTTTAATGTATTTGTTCCAGAGAATTCCTCTAAACACTTTATTAAAAATAGTCTAACCTTTTCATTTCCCTATATATTTTGCTTTTTTTCTTCTTCATCATTGACATTGATGGAGCACTCAGTGTGTTAGGCTCTGGGCTGAGTGTGTGGTAACTCACTTCCAAGAATACAGCAGAAAGTGGAGCTTGCAAACATAGAAGGGAGAATACCTGAGTAGAATACATGCCTGCTACATCATACCTATATACGACTATGCAGAAAATATCATTTGAGACTTTAGGTACATTTTATTAGAGTGTGAATCATCATAACACTTACAGTTTTAGTTAAAGTTTTGATTTCTTCTTTTAGTTCCTTCTTTTTTTTACTAAACTCTTTGATCTCTTTTTTGGTGGCCTGAAACATCAATCAATCAATAAACAACATTTATTAAGTACCCATTTACTACTGTCAACTACTCTCTTGGGGGCCAGGGATACAAAGAATTAAATAATTCGTACTCAAAATGAGTTTATGTCCTAACAGGGAGATACAACATATATGTGGTTGTACAGAATACATATAAATAGAATTCATACAACTAAATACAAAGCAGAGAGAGGATACTAGTAATTGGTAGAAGGAATTAGGAAGTTTCATGTAGAAAGTGGTTCTTATGGGGCAGCTAGGTGGCGCAGTGGATAGAGTCAGGAAGAGCTGAGTTCAAATCTGATCTCAGACCAGACACTTAACACTTACTAGCTGTGTAACCCAGGGCAAGTCACTTAACTCCAATTGCCTTGCCAAAAACAAACAAACAAACAAACAAACAAAAAACCAAAACCACAAAACTGGTGCTTGATCTATATCTGGAAAGAAAAGAGCGATTCTTAGAGTTGAAGGTGAATGCATTCCAGGCATGGAGGACAGCCAGTGTAGAGAGACAGAAACATGAGATAGTGGGCTGTGGCAGGAGAACAGTGAGAAGGCCAATTGGACTAGACTGCAAGGTAGGGAATGGGGAATAATAAGACTGGGAATATAGGTTGGGGCCAGGGTGTGAAGGCCTTTAAAAGCTAAACAGAAGAATTTATATGTTTTATCTTAGACAATAAGAAACCACTAGACTTTATTGAATAGGGAAGTGACATAGTCAGATCAGCACTTAATATATTCTTTGGCATCTGTGTGGAGGATAGACTAGAGTGAGACAAGGAGACCAATTAAGAAGCCATTGCAATGATCCAGTTGAGATGAAGAGAACTTGAAATAAGGTTGTAACTGTGTAAGTAGAGAAAAGAGGTCAGATACAAGTAATGTTATGGAGAAATGACAAATTTTGGGAACTAATTGTCAAGTGTAGTAAGGAAGAGTGAGGAGGTAAGGATAATGATGAAGTTGTATAACTGGGAGACTGGAAGAATGGTAGTTCCTTCAACAGAAACAGGGATGTTTGGGAGAAAGATGGGGGGTTTTTTTGGGGGGAGGGGGAGAAAACAATGAGTTCTGTTTTGGATATGTTAAATTTGAAGTGTTTCTGGAACATCCAATTTGAAAAGTGAGCAGAGGGGAACGCTCAAAATTTGGAAGTATGGATGATGAATTTGCAAAGAATATTAAGAAGAAAGTCAGAAAAGTAAGAGGAAGAAGATAGATGTGGCTTCTGCAAAATACAGAGAAGAAAAGTATTGAGGGAGAGGGAGGATGGTTAGTGGTATCAAGTGAATCATAAAGGTCAAGAAGAATAAGAACTGAGGAAAAACAGCCATTGGATCTGACAAGATATCATGTAATAAACATAGTATTTACAAAGCAAGAATAATGAAAAATAACTACAAAGCATATTTTTAAAAGCATCTCCTAGGAAAAGGAACACACACAAATGAATAAGATTATAAACTGCAGGTGAAAATAAGTCACTATAACAGCAGCTTGTTTCATTCTAATACTGTGTTTTCCGCATAGATTTGGAAGAAAGTTATACACATACTTGAAATTGACATAAATCATTAAGCCATTGTATTGAAGAATATTAAAAGGCAAAACTGAAGGTGTGTTATAGTGGCAAGATTACTGAATTTGGAGTCACAAGGCTTAATTTCAAATCCTGGCTCTACCTCTTACTATGTGATCTTAGTGAAGAAAATGAACCTTTCTGGCCCTCAGTTTCCTCACCCATTAAAAAAATACGGATTAGGCTCTAGATGATTAGGGGTGGGAGGGGAGAGAAGAAAGACATGAATGAGTTTGTAGGCAGTAGAGAGGCAATCATTAGACAGGGAGAGGTTGAAGATTAGTGAGAGATTAGGGACAATATATAAAGGGTACAGACTGCTTGACAAAACAAGATGAAAGAGGATCAATTGTACATGTAGACAGATAAGCCTTGGCAAGGAGAAGAGACATTTCTTAATGTGAAACAGGTGTAGAAGGTAATAGTAGGGGAAGGCATCTGAATGACATGAGATGAGGAGGGGTAAGAGGTAGCTCTCAGTAAATGGCCTCAATTTTTTCAGTTAAACATGAGGCAAAGTTATTGTTGGTCTCTTCCATCTCGCCCTTGTCTTCCCCATTCTCAAAAAAACCCCACCTGGTCCATTCATCCCCAATATTGTCTATATTTCTGATCCCTTTTGTGAAGAGAAATATAGGACAATAGCTAATCGGTATGGATGTATTAATTGAGGGGTTTTTGAGGATGGAGGAGTCATGGATGACATGGAAGAGACAGTCTATTAACAATTCTTCTACTTCCTCTTTTCTTACTTTCTCCATAATTCTCTGCAGTCTGGTTTTCCACTTCAACATTCAACTGAAATCGCTCTATACAAAGCTTCCAGTGATCTCTCTTAATGTGTAATCTAACGACTTTTTTTCAATCCTCGTAATTCTCACTCTCTCTTTGACCTTTTTGACTTTGCCAGTCAACATCTCTTTGATATTATTTTCTTTAAGTTTTTAGGACACTAGTCTCTCCTGGTTCTTCTTCTACTTGTCTGAAAACTCATTAGTTTCCTTTGAGGGCAGGGACTGGTTTTCTTTTACTTTTCTTTGTATTCCTAGGATTTAGGAGAGTGCTCAGCAACTAGTAGTCACTTTGCTTGTTCACTTGACTTGCAGAATGTGAGGTATACCAAGGCTGAGGAGGGTGGATAGTTAAACTGGTCAACTATAGGATCAAGACAGTGAAAGGAAGAAAGTGAGGTGACAATAGATTAGAAGAACAGAAAGGCATACACTGCAGGTCACAATTAGGATGAAGAATTGGTATAGGCAAAGCGAAAGATAAAAGAAAAAGAAACTGAACAAAGAGGGAAATCTCAGAATTCAAGATCATAGGAGCAGCTAGGTGGTGCAGTGGATAAAGCACCGGCCCTGAAGTCAGGAGTACCTGAGTTCAAATCTGGCCTCAGACACATAACACACACTAGCTGTGTGACTCTGGGCAAGTCGTTTAACCCCAATTGCCTCATTAAAAAAAAATGAATTCACGATCATAAACGTGATAATTATGGGTGATGGTGAAATTCAAGATATGATCCCACCATGACTGACTGAGGTATGTCAGGGCAGTTGAGAAGGTGGATAACTTGGAAGGAGCCATCAACATGAATATTGACATTTTTCAGTTTCACTACAGGAGTGATAGTGATCAAGAAGAAGACTATTAAATATTAAAGACCCAGTGCTGCTAGTGAACATAGGAAGCACCATTTTGAAACTTTGCCTAGGATAAATAAATTATTTGTCTTGATATTTTTGGCATTGACTATAAAACTATTAATACATCTTCTATAATATTATATATATATATATACACACACACACACACACACACACACACACACAAATACACTCATATAATACCTCTTCATTTTTCCTTTGTAACCAAGTAGTTTCATCTTCATAGTTAGCTTGGGGAAATGGCTTCTTTATGTAATATAACTGAGAAGAAAAGATAAACATCTGTATTAAACTGAACTCTCTAGTTCATCAAACTCTCTACCCCATTATTTAAGAGTTACCCTAAAACCTTATTCTATAAACTTTATCTGATTATTTTAGATGCAGAAAATAATTTTATTTCCTCTAACGATGAAATTACTTTGAGTAGGTTTTCAATAAGTAGATCAAATTCACTTAATATTTTGTTCACACCTAATATCATGTTTAACATAAAGTATATTAATTTATTTGTATGTCATCTACATATATATATATATACATATATATATATATATATATATATATAATGAATGTTGGTCTTATAGCTTCATAAAGGGCAACTTGACTTTTTTGTACAACTCTCATCATAGGATCATAGAACTACAGATGGAAAGGCCTTCAAACCCATCTTGTTCAACCTCCTCATTTCAAAGAGGAGGAAACTGAAGCCCAGAGAGAGATAAAATAACCTTTCCAAGGTCATACTGGTAGTACAAGTAATGGGCATAATACTACATGTAATGAGTAATCTAACATATGCTTTTAATGATGGTCATCTCCACAGTAGGGTTCTGTCCTATATTCTACAGATTTAGGGAATGGGAGTAGATAAAGGAGTTGAAAGAATAGAAAATGATCTTTTAACTTTGTATAAAAAAATTTGACTCTTTCCACATGAAGCTACAATTAAAGCTATAAATGTTTCTGAATACTCTATCACCTAAGTTAGGAAACAAGAACAAAGACTTTTTATATAATAATTAGAAGCAAACAACCATGTTCTCAGTTCAATTCCAGTGGGCTTCTGACCATGTTCTTGCAAAGTAACATATGTGGTCTACATGACCACATATTTTAAATCCCATACTCACATAATTTTTCATTATCTTAAGATTATTTCCAACAAGTATGAATTTAAAGTCCATTTCCTCTTTACTATAATTTCTGTTCAGATTTAGTACTTTTTATAGGTGTAAGAAGGATTAAAAATGTCATCTCAATAAGTACAAGGGGAGAAGGATCTTGTATTCTTGTTAGAGCAGTAAATCATGAATAAAAGGAAAATATAGTTAATAAAAGGAACTCAAAATAACAGTTACCTAAATAACGATATTAAAAATGGATTACTATAGGATTGTGAGATTTTTATTTTTTAAAAAACTATGTAGAAACTCAACTGGATCTTCATGGAGTGAATCCAAAAAGAGCTGAACATCTGTCATGTAGTATAAAGATACATTTTGCTCTAAAATGTTCCTATTCAAATATGGTACAAAGGCCTGAAAATATTCAGTAGCATGGTGAATTAGATGTCCTCTCAAACTCCTGTGGATTGAAACAGAATGAACAATGCATATGCATTATATAATGATGTCAAAAGCAGAGTTTACCTTTTATACATTTTCTCTTAAATAAAATTTTCTAATGAATTAAAAATATGTAAATAATTTTCCACAACTTTACTTCCAGTTTTTATATAAATTACAAAATATTTTCTATAATTTAATAAAACATTATATTGACTTTAGCAAAATAACAAAAATATTCTATTTGCTTCTATATCCTTTCTGTTTTCTTTTACTTCAATGAAAGCTAAATATTGTACAAATTGTATCTTCTCAGCTTGTACGTACTTCCATTTCAGGCAAACAAGGGCACCATCTTCTTTACCATTAACTAGTATAGATTGGCCATCTAATGAAAATTTGATTGACTGAATTCCTTTTCCCTGGTAAGAATGGCACCGTGCCCTGGCAAATGGTTCCTGAGTAGTTAAGAAACAATATAAAGAAAGCATAAGGTTTGCTGCTTTGTTGTATGTTTTATTAAATCAGATTATACATGCTTTTGAGACAAATCAGTTATTATTAACATAACAAATAAGTATTGACATTTTAATAAGTAAGTATTATTATTAACAAACTAAGTCAAATGTAGATTCTAGAAAACCTATAGTTCAACGCATATGTTGAAAAAGAGGCATGAAGAAGTTTAAGTGATTGGTCCAAAATTATACTATGTCAGTGAACAAATGAGGACTTAAACTCAGGACCCCTTGTTTCCCAACTCAATGTTCTATTGGTTACACTATATTGCTATTAGAAAAGTAAGTTAACGTAGTGGAAATAACAGTGGCCTTGGAAGCATAAGAATCAGGTTTATGCCTTGCTTCTGCCACTAATTCATTTTTCTTGGCTCTCTTCTCTTCCCTCTATATACTGTCTCCCTCAATGATCCCATCTACCCTTTGGCTTCAGTTACAACCACTATACAGAAAAAGTCTATGCCTCTATCCCTATCCACTCCCCAGAGCACCGTTTCTGGATTTCTGACTACTTTACAGGTACCACACCAAGACTTCAAACTCAGCATATCCAAAACTGAACCTGTCTCCCCTCAAGTCTTTTGCTTCTCCATGTAGCTTCTCCATTTATATCAAAGACATCACCATCCTCCACTCCATCTCAGCTTGTAACCTTGAAGACATCTTTGACTCTTCTTTCTCTCCACTTAATCATCCAATCCATTCTGCTCTGAAATATCTCTCATAGATATTCTTTACCTTTCCACTTCCACTGCAATTGCCCTAGTGCAAGCCCTCATCTCTTTTTGATTAAAAGTGTTGTAATACACTCCTAACTGACATTCCTGTCATTCTGAGTCTTCCACACTACTGCTCTAGTAATTGACCTAGCAACAATAGAATCATATCACTTCTCTACTTGAAACGTCTTAGTGGGTCCTCATTGTTTGCAGAATAAAATATAAACCCATGATTCTAACACTGAAAACCTACCACAATCCATCCTTCCTCTTACTATTCCCCCATGTATTCTGTGTTCAAGACAAACTGTCTTTTGACCTTACTCTGCTTTCTCTTATTTCCATATTAAAAGAAACAGAAAATACCAAGAAAATTCATTTTTAAAAAGACCCAATATATTGTTTTGGAATATAAAGCATCAATAAACTTGAAAATCCACAACACAATACAAGTCAAAGATTAGGAGGCTATAAAACCCAATTTTTTTTCTTTTCCAAGCTTTTTAAGAGTATCTTCTTAGTGTAAATCCATTCCTGCTTCTCACTGTGACATTAAGGCTTCATATTGATACCAATATTTACCAAACTATTACTATCACGGATGCTCAGTATTCCATCTTTAGCTGTTGATGCCAGCCACCGGCCATGAAAAGACAGATACAGCATTCCAGTTCCATAATGTTTACTTGGCATTTTGTTCTCTATTTTGAGAACTATGTCTTCACTATCCTATAAACCAAGAAGAAAATGTGAAACTGTATTCAAGGTCACGAAAATAATTCTTATTGCTAATAAGAACAAACAACATCACTGTGTTGGCAACTTGATCATTGATATCAATGAAAAACAAATACATATTATGATTGAAAATAAGCAGGTACATATGGTTGTGTTGCCTAATGGGTTTTGCCCCTTTTTTCAACTTTGTTTTCATCTTGTTTCTTAAATATTTGATTCTTCCTATTGAAGGGAATTTTCCTGATGAAAGCAGTTTTTGTTGACTATCTGTGCCAGATTCTGTCAGAATTTATCAGATTCATCCCCTACTTTATCTCAAATACCAATGATTGATAAAAGGCAGAAAATGGAAACTAATTCAAATAGCTCTTTATGAATTTAAATATCTGCTGATAGAATCCCTCTGAAATCCAAATTGAACAGAAAACATTTCATCTGGTGAGTTCTTACAAATAGCGATGCAGCCCATTTTGCAGACTCTATTTATGTGAGTCAAATTATGATATAAAATCAAATTTTGGTGAAAATGAGATTTCAGCTTTAGCGTCTAAAGTAGGGGTTAACAAAGTTTCAGAAGGCTCCCCAGTATAGGGGAGAGAAGCCTGTTCTTCTGGATGTGGGCACCTGGCTGAATAAAAGAAAAATCTCCCTAAACATTTCAGTAATTACAAATCCATTTGTGTTAGTAAGTGTCTCTTTTAAGTTGTACATGTTTATCTCCAACTGTAAATCACAAAGTTACATACATTTTCTTCAATGTGCCACTTTGAGCCACCTCTCCTCCTCTTCTCCCCCTTCCCAACTCCCCAAAGGTAGAACCTTATGTTAGTCATGTTCTCTCTTGAAGTCCACTCTTAGGAAAGTATAAGATGGTTTGAGGTTTTCTGTTTGTTTGTTTGTTTGTTTTTTGAAGATAGGGATGGAGAGAAAGAGACAGAATTTGAGGCATTTCTGAGGATGATAGGACTAGACTGGTTCTTTCAGTTAAAAGCTTTGGTCAGCTGGAGAAGAATTGGGAGAGTAGGAAGGGGAAGGAATGTGGGAGATCAATGAAATGAAGGTGAAAGGACAGTAAAGACAAACTTCACTTAGTTTGCAATTTTGTTTATGTTCCTAATGCAATTTGCCACTAAAAGTTATCCACTATGACCCTCTCTGTCTCTTACCTTTTTGCCATCCCAATCCCTGTTGCCTTTGCACTTGCTGCCCACTCTTTCACCTGAAATGTACCCCCTCAATCTCTCCATCTCTCAGTATATCTGCCTCAAGCTTCTATACACCACACCCCTCCTCATCCCATTGTCCCTATTTTGTCTATATGGCACCTCCTCAATAGAATGTTAGTTAACTCCTTCAAGGCAAGGACTGTTTGACTTTTGTCCTTTTATATGTAGCACTTAGCCCAGTGCCTAGCACAGTCACTTCTTAAACAATTTGTTCATTTGATAGTAGGGGTGGTTATGAGATCCTAGAATCATAGGTATAGAGCCAGAAAGGATCATGAAGGACATTGAGGTCCACTCCCTCATTTTACAAATGATGAAACTGAAGCCCAGAAGATTGTGACACATAACTAGTAGGTGTCTGAGGTAGAATTTGAACCCAGATCTTAATTCCAAGTCCAGAGTTCTCATCACTACATCATGCTGCCTCTCTCACGTTTGTTTAACATTGTAAAAAAAAATACTCATTTCTTTCTTTACACTATTTTGGAATTCATAGGAGAATCTTAAAATCCTTTCTCCTAAGGGGTTTCTTTTTTTCATTCTCTAGCTGCATCCAGTTTTCAGCAAACCCCAAAGGAATCGAAAGTAAGCAAATCATCTTTTCTGTAATTTACAGAAGACATCTGGAGATTAAAAAGTTATACTAAGGAATTAGCAGAGAAGTGAAATAAAATAATAAAAAGGAACAAGTTGCGATCCTGCCTGCCACTCTCCTTTCCTTCTAAAGTAAAAATCCTTTATCATTCTTGGACAGTTTCTCCCTTATTTTTTCCCTTTCTCTCTTGGTAGTAAGAAATGATGAAAGGGATGGGTTTAGAGAAACTTAGAAATACCTATGTGGAACTGATGTAGAATGAAATGAACAGAGCCAGCAGAATAATTTATACAATAACAACAACATTGTAAAGATAAAAACAACTTGGAAACATTTAACTCTGATCAGTGCAATGAATGATCAATACTAATTAGCGAAGACGAATGATTATCTATGCTACCCACCTTTGGACAGAGAGGAAATGGATTCAAGATTCAGAATGAGACATACATGTTTATTTTTGGACATGGATAGTGTAGGAATTTATTTTGCTTAACTATGCACACTTGTTTTGGTTTTATCTTTTCCTTTTAGATTATAAATAGGAGGGTGGGAGGGAGAAAAAATAAATGTTTGTTAATTGAAAATTTTTTTTAAAAAAAGGAATGATTTCCTTTTAGAGTGATCATTTAAGGTTAGAGTTAGAGGAAAAAAGGTCACTGGATTGTTAATTAAGAGAATGCATCCTTAAGGTGCTGATTGACTTTCCCAAGGCAAGGAAAGGGTATGAACCTTTATAACAATAAACACAACATTACAGAATTACAAAACTGGAGGGTGTGTAAGAGACCATCTAATTCAACCCATGCCTGACCAAAAATCCCAATGGTACTGATGAATAGTCATGTATTATATCTTTTCTTGAAAAGGGAGAACGTACTGTTTCTTGAACAGTTCATCTCACTTTTGGACAGCTCCAATTGTTAGGAAGTTTTTTCTTGAATCAAGCTGAAATTGACCACTTTGAAAGACTCTATAGATGATTTAGTCCAACGCCCTCATTTTACATATGAAGAAACAGGCCTAGAGAGTCTGAGTGATTTTCTTAAGGTTACATAGATGGCAAAGGGCAATTAGGTGGCACAGTGGATAGAGCACCAGGGCTGAAGTCAGTTCATATTCCTGAGTTCAAATATGGCCTCCAACACTAGCTGTGTGGTCCTGGGCAAGTCATTAAATCCTGTTTTCCTCAGTTTTTTCATCTGTAAGATGAACTGGGGAAGGAAATGGCAAACCACTCCAGTATCTTTGCCAAGAAAACTCAAAAGGGGTCACAGAGAGTCAGTCAGACACGACTGAAAATGACTCAATGATAACACAACACAGATGGCAAGTATGGTAGAACTAGAATTTAAACTTATATCCTCTTAACTCCAAATGGAGAACTCTTTCTGCTACAATCCACTGTTACCAGTTCTGTCTGAGACCAAATGGGACAAGTCTAGTACTTCTTCCCCAGATAAGCCCTTAAATTATTTTTAATCAATTAATTACTTTATTTTTAGTTTTCAACATTCACTTTTATAAGATTTTGAGTTCTAAATTCCCCCCCCCTTTCTTAAGGTGGCATGCAATCTGATACATGTGCAATTATTTTACACATTTCCACATTCGTCGTGTTGTGAAAGAAGAATCAGAACAAAAGGGAAAAACAACAAGAAAGAAAAAACAAACAAAAAAAAGAAAATAGTATGCTTGGATCTGCATTCAGACTCCATAGTTCTTTCTCTGGATGTGGATAACATTTTCCATCATAAGTCTTTTGGAATTGTCTTAGATCATTGTGTTGCTCAGAAGAGCTAAGTCTTTCAATTTTGGTCATTGTACAATGTTTTTGTTACTGTTACTATGTACAATGTTCTCCTGATTCTGCTCACTTCACTCAGCACCAGTTCATGTAAGTCTTTCCAGGTTTTTATGAAATATACCTGCTCATCATTTCTTATGGAACAATAGTATTCCATTACATTCATATACCACAACTTGTTCAGCCATTCCCCCATTGATGGGCATCCTCTCAATTTCCAATTCTTTGCCACCACAAAAAGAGCTGCTATAAATATTTTTGTACATGTGGTCCTCTTCCATTTTTACGATCTCATTGGGACACAGACCTAATAGTGGTGTTTCTGGATCAAAGGGTATGCACACTTTGGTTGCCCTTTGGGCATAGTTCCAAATTGCTCTCCAGAATGGTTGAATCACTTCATAACTCCACCAACAATGCATTAGTATTCCAATTTTCCTACATCTTCTCCAACATCATTTTCCTGTTTTGTCATATTAGCCATCTGATAGGTGTAATGTGGTACTCAAAGTTGTTTTGATTTGCATTTCTCTAATCAATAGTGATTTAGAGCATTTTTTCATATGGCTATAGATAGATTTAATTTCTTCATCTGGATACTGCCTGTTCATGTCCTTTGACCATTTATCAATTGGGGAATGACTTGTATTCTTATAAATTTGACTCTGTTCTCTATGTATTTTAGAAATGAAGGCCCTTAAGTTCTTAAAGACAACCATATCTCTCCAAGTATTCTTCAAATGAACCTCACATTTCATAGTTTCCAGTCTACTCACCATCCTGATCACCCTCCAAATTGACTCCTATTTTTCATGTCCTTCCTAAAATATGCCACCAAGAACTGAATATAGTATTCCAGGGCAAAGTACAATAAAACCATCATCTCCTTTGTTGTGAATATTATACCTCTTTTCATGATGCATAGGATAGCACTAGCTTTGGAGGGTTGCCATGTCACATTATTGAATTATATTGAGCTTTCAGTCCACTAAAATACCCCAGTTATTTTTTCTCATGTGTTAACACTTCAACCACCATTGTAAACATATAAAACATTTCTACTGTTTATTTAGGCATAGGAAACAAGGAAAGGAAGAAAAAAGAAAAGTAACTTACTCATACACACTAACCTGCGCTCCTATTTTTTTTATGTTTATCTAAGAAACTTGGCTCATTCACTACTGACTCCAATAGTATAGTGTTGGGATGTATTATCTCCTCCATCCCAACAATCATGAATCCCTGGCTATTGCTATACAAATTTCAGTCACCATCTACCATTGCCTGTTCTCTTATTCCCACTCTCTTTAGTGGAGCCCCTTAATGTTCCACGCTAGATCTACCTACCCATTCCACTTTCCTCTCCTCCATAATGAACAAACTTGCTTTTGTCTTAAACATTTTCCTTTCTCATTCTAGCCTCAGGTTCTCACTGAGATCTGGCTCCTTCTTCATGACATTGCACCCCTTGAGGCTGCACTTGAATTCACCTTGACTCATTGTTTGTGGTGGGAGACTCAGAATACCCCTTGCTCCCCACTGCTGTTTCTAGACTCTTCTATCACAAATTGATCACCCATGCCCATCAAGTGGAGAATGACTGAAAAAGTTGCGGCATGTGATTATGATGGAATGCTATTGTACTCTAAGAAATGATGAGCAGGATACTCTCAGAAAAACCTAGAAAGACTTGCATGGGCTGATGCAAAGTGAAATGTATTGTGTACAAAGTAACAGTAATATTGTAAGATGATCAGCTGTGAGTCACTTAGCTATTCTCAGCAATACAGTGATCCAAGACAACTCTGAAGGACTTATGATGAGAAATGCTATCCATTCCAGAGAAAGAACTGATGGTGTCTCAGTACAGATTGAAGCATACTTTTTTTTTACTTTATTTTTCTTGAGAGTTTTTGTCTATGTTTTCTTTCACAATATGACTGTTATTTGTATGTTTTGCATGATTACACATGTAAAACCTATATTGAATTGCTTGGCTTCTCAATGGGGCTGGGGTGGGGAGGGAAGGAAGGAGATAATTTGGAATTCAATGTTTTAAAGTATCAAAAATTGTTTTCACACATAACTGGGGAAAAATACTAAACAAAAAAGAGACCAAAAAAATTGATCACCTAGTAAAGATTATGGTAGCTATTATCTATCAACCTCTAAGTTTTCTCCTTTCTTCCTCAGTGAGTTCAGTGACTGTCTCACAGGTCACCCCCAACCTCTGCCCTTATACTAGGAGACTCCAACAAATGTACTGATACGCCTTCAAATATTCTGACTAACCAGTTCTTCAATCTACTCATTTCCCATGACCTCTACCCTGCCTCAGCTATCACTTGATCTTGCCTGTTTCCCACAAGTGTTCATGAAATCTAAATGCTTATTGACTGCCATATTTATGGATTATTTTATGATAGGCTGCAAATGAGGCTACCATGAATCCAAGATTGGCAAAGAATGTATTTATTAAAATCCTCTAGGATGTGACTTATATATATATATATATGTATATTTTATGTGACTTAATTACTAAGGGAAATGATATATTTGTATTTTACTATGTTAATGGCAACAGAGGAATACCTTTTTAGGAATACTGTAGGTACAGATATATGGCACATGGCTACAAAAGCCATATATTTTTTCACAATCGAAATCCAAGACAGCAGAGGATAAGGGATGATGTATTTCATACAGGGTCCTTGCAAATAATTCATTTTTCAGTCTCCCTCTTTCATCACTATATTTGGCAGCATCTACAAGATTTGGGGAAGAGAAAAAAATCACTTTAGAAATATTTGGAATTTAACTTTTAAAACCAATAAGGATATTATATAATATGCTATTTATGAAAAACAAAAATGTTTGAAAAGATCACTTAACACTAGAAGGACCAGGCACATCAGATGATGCAAAAATTTTTTTGGTCCTTTGAGATATTGTTAAATGCCTGTCCTTTAAGTAACACAAGCTGGTGAAATAAATCTCAGTCTTTTGGAATTATTTATACATTTTTTTCTTCTTCAGTTTTAACTCTAGAAGGACCAGGTGCATCAATTGACAAGGAAATATATTTAATAAATCCTTTCTCCTATCTATGTAAATATACTTTAAATACAAACATTTATAAGCAGATGTTATCATTTTCCTTTGAAATAAAAAATTCCATCCTCCTATCTCTTCTTTTGCCTTGTGGATAAAACAAAACTTATTGTGCCAACTGATGCATGTTAATCCTTTGAAAAGGTACTCTAGTGTTAACAAGTTGTATGCCATTGGGTAGATCACTTATATTCTTGGGCCTTAGAAAACTCAATAGTTCAATAGATATGTAGAATGAAGTAATTCATGGATATACTAAGAGACCTATAACAAATATAAAAGCATTCTGGTAGTTCTAGCTGTCTTATAGTACTGTAAGTATAAATGTCATCTATAAATAGATAAGTTTCTGTTTATAGTTATTAACTTCTTTTGCATCTGCAGTGAATCAATTTGGAGAATTTATTTTTAACATCTCTTTTTGTTGGAAAAGCTTTCATTACATCCTTGTTATTACAAATAACTAGTCTACAATCTAACCAAACTTAAAGTATATTTGAGACTATGAAGCAGAAAATAACAGAAGATAAACAATTTAGCAATGGTTTCAATTCTGCAGTTTTTCTGCAAGTTTTCCAATAGGCTGAAAAGGAAAAGACTCAGGAGGAAGTTAGTAATAGTATGCTTACTATGAAATAATAATACATGATTAGTAATTCTTAATAATTGAGTAATAATTATATTTAATAATAACTTTTATTATTATATTCCTTTATTACCTGCTAAGATTTCATCAGTCAGAGTGAACATTTCTAGCTTGCTTCTTTCATTTTCTGAAGATTCTTCAAGGACCATAACTTGAATTTTGTTAGTTCCCCAAACACAAACTGTACATATTTGTAAAATGTTAGCACTCACCTCTGAAAATAGACATTAGTAGACATACACAGAAATTGTCATTGGTGATCGGTTTAAGAAATATGCTTGTTCAAATTTAAAAAATCTAATTACAAGCTACTCTATGACTAAATTTCTATATCTGAACCTTCTGGGTGAGACCACAAAGATTTTATTTATAGAGTAACTCTACAATACAAAGTAGACATTTTATTCATAAAACAGCATATTCTTTTAGCCTGTAAGACTCTAGGTTTATAGCATTTTCGACTGAATTTTGAAGACAGTGGCATTAAGGGTATGAAAGAAATTTTCATATATGTGACTTAAAATTGTTTCTACTTCCACTATATCTGAATGTGATTTCAAGGATTTGTGTAGGGAACAAATAAAGGATGTGTGTGCAGCAAAACATGAGGTAGAGATCTTCATTAAAAGTCAAATATTAATGTAATAATATTCAAGAACAAATGAACACAACTTATCATTTGAAACCAAGAAGACATTGGCTGTTGTATGCAACTTGTCTCCAAACTTCAGTGTTTGCAAAACTCCTATTTTTAAATACGACGAGAAGAGTTTTGTAAACTTCACCATCTTGGTTGTTACACTCATAGTTCATTTGTTCTCAAAACTTTGACCCTTTAGAGGAAAGACACTAACATATCTAAATTAATAAATACTACTTCTCTATGTACATTACCTGTAAATCCAATAATCCTGAATGTTTCTGAGGCTTTGGAACTTAATAAGAAGATATGTCTATCAGATGTTCCAATTATCAAAAACAAACCACGTTGATCATAACTAGAAAAAAACATATATTGAATTATATTGTAGTTTTTTCTTATTATAAGACAATACATGAAAGGGACTTTAGAGGTGCTTTAGTCCAACCCTTCCACATTTTACAGATGAGGAGACTGAGGCCCAGAGAGATTAAGTGATTTGCCCAAAGTGACAGAGGTCAAGGTCTTCTGACTCCTAATTCAGTCCTTGACACTATGTCACATTGCATTTCTTAGAGCTCTGATTGTTAAGAAGTCCTTCCATATTCTCAAATGGTTCTGTCATCTTATTAATGCAGATGTTCCTACAGTCATACACATAATAATGCATACAAGGTCGACTAGCTTGTCCAATTCTTTGTCCATGTCTTTCCATAACTCTACCACCAGGGAATCACTCAACGTTTTGGGAGACATTTACGCTTTCTTTTGATATCAGTAGAATACCAGTGGAGCACACAGATTGTCCATCAGTTATTGTTTCCTCTCTTCCCATGGCCAAACTATGTTCTTTTTCAGTCATACATTTCTCTGGTGATGTCATTTACTCCATTTCTTCTAAGCAGTTTCTTATTTATTATATATCTTAGACTATTCACACTCTCCTGTGTTTAGCACAGAGCCTGGCACATAGTAAGTGCATAATAAATATTTGTTTATTGACTGACTGATCACATGACTCTCCATTGCTTCAGAGACTGTAGTGTTACATGACTTGAAGAAACACTGGAAGAAAATTGGTATTAAAAAACATCACTGGAGAAAAAAGTGGTATTAAAAAGATGGGCCTTTGTTTCAGAGAAAAGTTTGGGATGATTAAAGTTTAAATTTTTTTCAGAGTCAAAACTACCCACTTTTCTTTCCCTGTTTAATTCTGGGACCAATTGCCCATTTGTAGCATCTACCTGTGTATGTAAATATGTATGTGTGTGTGTGTGTGTGTGTATACATATATATGCATATACATATATACACACATATGTATATATAATGCATATACATATACACACACGCACATATATGTATTTATATATGCATACATACACACACATACATATATGCATATGTATAGATTGATGAAGTATTTATTAAGACCTCCCTGTGTGCTAAGCACTGTGTTAAGCTCTGGTGATATAAATAGAAAACAGTCCTTGCCCTCAAGGGGTCCACATTTTAATGGGGAGAAAACACATGTGGAAGGTTTCAGCTGTAAGTCAGATGGAAAGGTCCCATGATCCTTAGGGTACAGTGCAAAAACAGATCAAAATGCCTCTTCTTTAATATTATTCCCATTGCCAAAGTCTGTCAATTTCACCTTCGCAACATCTTTTAAAGTGCAAGAGGAGGTGACATGGTCAGACCTGCACTTTAGGAAAATCACTAGTGGCTGAATGGAGGATGGATTGGAGTTGGGAGAGACATGAAGCAGGCTGACCTAAGAGCAGGCTAATTCAATACTCTAGGTGGGAGGTAAAGAGAACCTGCTCCAGAATGGTGGCAGTATCAGAGGAGAGAAGGAAAAGTATTTGAGAGATGTTGCAAAGGTGAAATTGACAGACCTTGGCAACAGAGTAAATGGTGGGTGTGGGGGTGGGGGTGGGGTAAGAGATAGTGAGGAGTAGAGGATGATGCCTAGGTTGCAAGCCTGAGGAACTTGTGCTTGACAGTGATAGGGAAGTTAGGAGGTGAGGAGGGTTCAGGGGGAAAGATAGTAAGTTCCACATTGGACATGTTGAATTTAAGATGTCTACTGGACATCCAGTTGGAGATGTCTGAAAGTCAAGTGGAGACGTAAGATTGGAGGTCAGCAGAGAGGTTAGGGCAGAATAGGTGGATTTGAGATTCATCAGCACAGAGATTCATCAGCATGAGAGCCGATGAGATCACCAAAAGAAATAGTATGGAAGGAGAAAAGAGGAGGGCCCATGACAGACCCCTGGTGGACACCTATGGTTAGAGGGTGTGATCTGGATAAGGATCAAGAAAAGGAAGCTGAAAAGGAAAGGTCAGATAAGTAGGAGGAGAACCATGAGAGAACAGTGTCCCGAAAACCTACAAAAAAGAGAGTATTGAGAAGAGGGTACTCTGCAATGTCAATGGCTGCAAGAGGTCAAAGAGAATGAAGACCACGAAAAGGCCATTGGACTTGGCAATCACTGGAAACTTTGGAGAGAGAAGTTTTGGTGGAAAGATGAGGTTGGAAGCCATATTGTAAGAGGTTAAGACATTGAGAGAAAGTGGAGGCAACTGTTGTAGATGGCCTTTTCGAGGAGCTTAGCTACAAAGGGCATAAGAAGTATAGTATGATAGCAGGGATGGAAGGATTATGTGAGGGTTTTTTGAGGATGGGCAAAACATGGGCATGTTTGTGGGTAGTAAGAAAGGAACCAATAGACAGGGAGAGATTGAAAATATGTGAAAGAGTGGGGATGACAAAGAGTGATATATTGAAGGAGATGAGATAGAATGGGATCACTTGTGCAGGTAGAGAGGTTAGCCTTGGTAAGGAGTAAGGTCTCCTCTTCACGCGAGATGGGGCAAAGGAGAAGATAGTGGCAGAAGACATATGAGTGATATGAGATGAAGAAGAGGAGAAGAGGAAAATCAGGGCAAATGGCCCCCATATTTTCTGTAAAAGATGAGGCAAGGTTCACAGCTGAGAGGGTGGGGGTAGGGGAAGTCATCTGAGCTTTGAGGAGGTATGAAAAGGTTTGAATCACTGTAGATAGTACAATAGTGAGTTGATAAGGGAGACACAATAGGATGGGCTAGCAGCAAACAATCAGGGCCCAGTTGGAGTTGTGTAACATAAATTTGTAGTGGTCTCAATCAGAATGGTTGTGTGGTTTTTTCCACCTTTGTTTCCACATGTGTAGGAGAAAAGATGGAGGATGTTGGAAGTGATCCAAGGCTGAGGCTTGCCAGGATACATTGGTGAAATGATAAGGGGACAAATACTTAAGAAAAGAGGACAGGTTTCTAAAATATATAGAGAACTGAATCAAATTTATAAGAATACAAGTCGTCCCCCAATTGATAAATGGTCAAAGGACATGAACAGGCAGTATCCAGATGAAGAAATTAAAGCTGTCTATAGTCTTTTGAAAAAAATGCTCTAAATCATTGTTCATTAGAGAAATACAAATTAAAACAACTCTGAGGTACTACATAACACCTATCAGATTGGACAACATGACAAAACAGGAAAATGATAAATGTTGGAGAAGATGTAGGAAAATTGGAATACTACTGCATTGTTGGTGGACTTGTGAAGTGATCCAACCATTCTGGAGAGCAATCTGGAACTATGCCCAAAGAGCAACCAAAGTGAGCATACCCTTTGATCCAGAAACACCACTATTAGGTCTGTATCCCAACAAGTTCATAAAAAAGGGGAAGGGACCTACATGTACAAAAATATTTATAGTAGCTCTTTTTCTGATGGCCAAGATTTTGAAATTGAAGGGATGTCCATTAGTGGGGAAATGGCTGAACAAGTTGTGGCATATGAATTTAATGGAATATGATAGTGCTATAAGAAATGATTGGGGAGCCAAGATGTCAGAGTAAAAGCAGTGACTTGCTTGAGCTCTCCCCCAAACCCCTCCAAATACCTATTAAAAATGGCTCTAAACAAATTCTAAAGCAGCAGAACCCACAAAAAGACAGAGTGAAACAAATTTCCAGCCTAGACAGCCTGGATGGTTGATGACAAAGGTATATTGCGCAGGGCTGGTAGAGAAGCGCAGTGCCCCATGGGCACACAGGCCACAGCAAACCTGGAGCAGGCCTCAGAGGACGGAATCATAGGCAACTGTGGTGGTTTCCAGACTTCTCAACCCACAAATGCCAAAGACGACCTAGAAGGTCAGTGGGAAAAGTCTGTTCCTGCAGTGGTGAGAGACCAGCATGGGGTCTCAGCTCCAATTCCTGAGAGCGTGGCCCCTGGGGCAGTGGCTGACTCCTAAGTTTCCAGCCCACAGACTGAGGGAGAATCAAGTGGCTGATCAGAGGGGGATTGCAAGGATCTCTCCGCTGGTACAGGATTCTCTTGCTTTGCGTTTTCTTGGATCTGGGATCACAGGCGGTCCTGGGGTGAGGAGGAGTGCTGGCATGGGGGAGCTTGTACTGGCTGTGGAGAAAAAACCCTCTTCACAGTTTCAGGACAGAAAGGAGAGCTTGTGGTCACTAATAGACCAGAGCGCAGGCCAGGAAAGGAGTAAACCTCACCCTTGATCATAGCACCTTGGAAGAACTGAAAATTTACAGGTCCCTAGGAGTATCTCTGAAGACAGCTGCACAAAACCCCTGAAGTTTAGGACAGTACATTCTCCACACTGGAAACAAACTCCTACCTTAACAAAGAGTTTATAACTCAAATAATTGGCCAGGATCATAAGCAAGCAGTGCAAAAAGAATCAGACTATATTGTCTTACTTTGGTGACAAAGAAGATCAGAACATACAACCAGAAGACAACGAAGCCAAAGCTCCTACATCCAAAGCCTCCAAGAGAAAAATATTAGTTGGTCCCAGTCCATGGAAGAGCTCAAAAAGGATTTTGAGAAGCAAGTAAGAGAAGTAGAGGAAAAACTGAGAGTGATGCTAAAGGAGACCCAAAAAAATACTGAAGAAAGTAACACCTTAAAAAATAGCCTAACCCAAATGGCAAAAGAGGTCCAAAAAGCCAATGAGGAGAAGAACACCCTAAAAAGCAAAATTGGACAAATGGAAAAGGAAGTCCAAAAACTTACTGAAGAAAATACTTCCTTAAAAATTAGAATGGAGAAATAGGAAGCTAGTGAAAACTTGAGAAATAAAGGCACTGTAATGCTGATCCAAAAGAATGAAAAAATAGAAGAGAATGTGAAATATCTCATTGGAAAAACAACTGACCTGGAAAATAGATCCAGGAGAGAGAACTTAAAAATTATTGAACTAGCTGAAAGCCATAATCAAAAAGAGAGCCTAGACATCATCTTTCAAGAAATTATCAAGGAAAACTGCCCTGATATTTTAG